GTAAATCCAGTTATAAACATATTGACATAGTGATTTTACACATAAAAATAACATTATTTCTATGGACGGAACTTCATGAACACTCTAACGGCAATGGACCGTCAAATTACAAACAAAGTGTCGTTAGGTTTACCGAAAATATTTGTGTATAAATTCATATTTAAAAGTACTAAATATAGAAATAATGTTATTTTTATGTGTAAAATCACTATGTCAGTATGTTTATAACTGGATTTACGGGACTAGCTCATGATATTTGCCGATTTTGATAAATTCAATTTGTCGATAGGGACATATAGTTTGTTTTAATACCCATTCTAATTGCATAATTTACTGACAGGACACGATGTTCCCAACTTAGATTTAGTTTAAAATTTTACATAAATCATAATACTGTTAGTAATAGTGGAAAAATTATTTCTAGATTTGTTAAGCAAATTCACTTGAACATTATTACGTATGTGGGAGCTTATTGTATCGGGATACTATTAGTGTACTATTATCGCAAGGACCCGAATAAGCGCTACACAAAATATGTACATACTTTGTAGATTATTGCAAACAATTTCAATAATTTAATAATTTTTTTAGAAATTCAGTTCTATTTTATGGAAATTATGTATTGGTACAATGACCATGGTACTAATAATTAGGTTTCTTTATGTAAACCAAACCTTGCCATCGGATAATATGTTGAGTGCATTGTATGTCTCAATCCATTGCATACTATGGGCTATATGTATGGCGTATATAATATACACGTGTGGGACGGGTGGGGCACCGGTGCTCAACGGCATACTGTCGTGGAAGGGATGGCAACCCATTAGTAAACTGACTTTTCAGGCTTATCTCATCCATATAACTGTTTACAAGTATATGTTTTACACAACCAGACAAACAGTTTATATAACAATGGGGACAGCGGTAAGTGTTTATTAAAATGGATTTTGTATTTAAACTCAATTAATAGTGTTTTTAAATCTAATTAATTAATTGAATTATTATTGCAGTTATTGGAGTACACTATTGAAGTAATTATTACTTTTATTATCAATTATTTCGGTTATGTTTTCATTGAGAGACCATTCATTCAAATTGCAAATCAATTTCTATGAAAATTTAATAAGTTGTTATTTTTGAATATACTTTATTAATGTAGTAAGCAAATATTTAACAATTTATTTTATATAATTATATATCAAATTTTATATTTAGTTAAGTAATTATATGAACCTTATTACAACTCTATACCTATTTATATCCATTTTAAACTAAATTAATTAATATGTTAAATAAGTACTTTTATTAGAAAATATAAACAAACAATACGACATATTAATGTATTTATCTGAATTATATGAATTTAAATTACATGTACTGGATTAATTAAATTACAATAAAATTTTTAATTCCTAATATCAAAATAATTTTCAAATTTAAATTGTAATCAAAACCATTATTATAATTGCATATATACTAGGGTTGAATGGGAAGTCTTTATAAATATTTTTATTTTATTTTGGAAACGATAAAAAATATTTAATAACAAATTTATATGATCACGTGTCAATGAAAGTGCCCAATGTAAGTGTCAAAACTAGTCAATGTGCTGACACCCAGTAATGTTGCATAATGTTCAGAATTGTGTCCAGGAAAGTAACCACCCGTTTACAAAATATTGCAAAATAGCCAACTATCGAGTTGAGTGACCTTTTGGGCACCCGAATTTAGTAGGTATACTGTATAGTCCATTTACCATTTAGGATCAAATTTCAAATAAAGGTCAAATAAATTTTTAATATTTTTCAGGGTTCGCACAGAATATCAACTTTAGTTGAGTGCACTACATCTTAAAACAATAAATTCAAATTAAATTAAATGTATTTCACAGCAAAAAGATAACCAAGTATATTCGGTTATATTAGGGTAAATTAGGTATTTTGTCATTTGACCTACAAGTGTTTACCTACAAAATATTGCTATTGTGATAACTTTGGAACCATAATAAATAGAGAGATGCTTTAATGGAGTTATTTGATCGATAGACAGTATATGTATGAATTATCAGCATAGCGGTTCTAAGTCATCGGACAATGTCATATGATACATTGTTGAAATAAGCTCGATGAAGGTATAGAAAATACTTCTTAATCTGGATCTGCTGATATTCCTCCATGGTCAATAGAAGATAATTCCTGTAAACCCGCCCAAGATGGCATTTTCTAAATATGCATATAGAGCTGATTTGAACGATGCACTACATTATTTCTTGGGTTACATTATCTTGTATTGACCATGGAACAATATTATTAGATTCATTCAAGAAGTGATTTTCTATACCTACTCATTGAGCTCATTCCAACCATGTATTACATGACATTGTCCGACGACCTGGAACCGATATATTTTTGTAATATTTTTACAATATAAGTTAAATTATTTGTTAATTCTATAAATTAACAATTTAAAACTAAAGCTTTATGGCTTTATGCTTTATGTAAACTTAACAGTCATAATTAATATTTAATATAATTAAAATAAAATTAGCAATTTTAAGTTGTTTAAAACTTTATTTTAATAATAACTTGTAAATAATTGTGAGAAATTAATAATTATTTAGCCATTGCATTTAGGCAAAACCTGTAATAATCTTATGCATTGTAAAATATATTACAAAATAAGCCTTTTTCAAATTTAATCAAAACACGACAATATTCTCACTAAAATATTATATCATAATAACATAAATAATTGTAATTAAACCATACAAAGTATACTGATAATATTACAAATCTACTAACTTGTAAGTGTTAAAACTAACAAGAATTAATAATTAATTTAATACTTGGTTAATTTTTCTAAACTTGAACCTTGATTATAGAAATGATGTGTTTATTATAGGCCGGCAACGGTATTGCCGGCTAAGCTTGAAAACTTTTATGAGTTCAAACTCTGCTTTCAATGTAAGATTATTTATCAATAGTCATTCATTTCTATTCATCGATTGATCTTTTTGTATATTATAAACTCATATATCGTACTGTAATACTACCATTATACACTCATACATCAATATATCAATGTAGACTAGTTTCATATTTAAAGTTATCTCATTTTAAGCTTATATAACATACAAATTCAATGAAACTTTTAAAAAATTTTAAAATCCAATAATACAGTGCAAACGAATTTCTTTGAAAACCAACTTTTGTGGAAAAGGATACGAAATAATGTTTGATTTGATTTGATTTAGGATATCCTTGGTGGTACGGTAATTATGGAAGTTTAATAAACCTTATTTGCATCCATAAGCTTATTATATAAGCAATTTTACCATTTCTTTTAATTACAGACTAATGGCTCCTTTGGTGCAAAAAATTATACAATTTTTAAAACGATTCATTTGAAATACACTTTCATTATAACAGTATTATAATACTTCTGTATGCCATACATATTTTATAACATTTACTAACAATTCAAAGGTTTGTGATTGCAAATCATACCAATTTATGAATAACTAAGTTGTTTTGTCCCTAAATAACATATCCTGGTAATATTTCGTTCTAGCAAAGGTTACAACAATTTTAATTAATTTTTAGTTAACTACTACCTCCTCTTCATGAGTTAACATGGGATTTAGGTTCACATATAACGTTACTTTTATTAAGCGATCGAGGATAGGCTTTCCTAACACTAACATTTCAGCTTAAAAATTTTGTTTAAATATTATCACTAAATAATTCATTGAATGATAATGACAATTTAATTATTGTAATAATTAACAAATTAAATTAATGTGCTTTAAAAATAATATTAGTTATTAAATTGAATTTTAATTACCGTAGTTAAAATAAATAAACTTTTATATTTTAAATAAATAACATTTTAAAAATATATAATGTATCAATTAATTTTTACGTTTTTAATAGTAATTATTTCAATATATTATAAAAATTACAAAATATTAGCATTTATTTTTAATTTTGTTTGTTAAATATTGCCTGACAAATTATTGGAAAATGTTAACATTGGAATATTTAAGATAATTAAAGTATTCTTAATATCATAATTGTTTTTAAAATATAAATTAGGAATATTCTTTTAAATCAAAAGATTCATAATTTAATTAATGTAACTTAAAAGATTTGTGTTGAAAGTATTTATGAATTCATACCGACAATAATTTAAACTTTGTATTTAGGCGTAATGCTCGACCAATATAAATTGCCTTTGAGACTATCTTTTACTGATTCAACATATGCATCAAGCTCATTTATACCGAACTCATTTAATTGACGTCCATGATATAACACCATGGTCCACGATTCGTTAATTAATTTAACGAGCTTATCGGCCGCAGTTTGAGCGTCACATTGATCATGGTACATCAACAAATTAATGTATGTATATTTATTTTCACCTTTTAATACTTCCTTTTTGAATGAATACAAATCATTTACCATGGCAGCGTGGCGACAGGTATGGATGTTAAACTGTTTCCAGCTAGTTCCGTTACTAATATGCGGATAATCATCAGGGTCGTAGTTTACCGTATTGTAAACGAAAATCATCATCGTCTCATATAAAACATCAACAAATCTTTAAAAATATTTTACAAAATAATATTGAAATGTTTGTATAACATCACTATATAATTTATAATCTTTAATATTAGTGTGAACATTTATAGTAAGCTGGTTTTAATGGCAATCACTGAAACCCTCAAAATACATTCAGTTACATAGAGTAACATGAGGTGTCTTTTCATATGTTTGATCAGTAGTAAATGGCACACTATGTCACTTTTTGAGCGCACATGTAGTGTGACCAACTCGGAATTTAAAATTCCTGGATTTTTATGTATATATTTCATAAAATTCCTGGACAATCCTGGACATAAATTATGTGTAAAATCACTATGTCAATATGTTTATAACTGGATTTACGGGACTAGCTCATGATATTTGCCGATTTTGATCAATTCAATTTGTGGATAGGGATATATAGTTTGTTTTAATACCCATTCTAATTGCATAATTTACTGACAGGACACGATGTTCCCCATTAAGTATTATGATATACTTACATACTAGTAGGATTTGTAGATAATTGGGCATTATTTTGTACATATATTACTCCAGTTGCAATTATGCTCAGCATAATAACCAACAAATTAATTCTAATACCAAGCACCTGTTTTCTAAAAGTATAATTTTTTTTAAATATAATCATATCGGTATATTCTTATCCATTGTATTGTTAAATTTAACATTCATATTAAAATATATTTAATTGTACTTGATTTGTTTAGCAGTTAAAAATTGTATTAATAAAGGTGAAATTAGGAAAAGTTTCCATTCGACTTGCAATGACCATGTTACTCCAATACACTATGAATATAATAGACAGATATGTGTATTAATAACTATTATTTTTAAATAAAATTACGAATTAATTTCACAGGGCTCAATCCATTAAACCGTTTAAAATTGAGCAAGGTGGCCCACCAATTGTGATGACACACTCCAGATATACCAATCATATACTCGTGCCATACGGGCCCCGACCCCAACACCTCTAAAAGGATGGTAAAGGCAATGACTAGTGTTGCCAACTCTAAGAATTTTCACCCTGGAGATTTACATAAATTCAACCCCAATTTCCTGGAGAATCCTAGAGGAATTGTTTATTAATTTAAAACAGAAAATAATTATTTATGAAAATTTTAATATATTAATTCGAAACAAGTGAATTTATATAAATTAAATTAATTATAATTTAATTAAGTTGTAATGTAATAAAAATTAATTTTTAATAATTGTTTACTAAATTATACCTTTTAAATTATTAATATTTATTGAAAACTATAGTAAAATAGATATGAAACTTTTATAATATAGAATATTTTATGCCTTTATGCTATCATTTGTTATATTAAATAGATATTAAATGATTTTTATCACTCTGAGTACATTATGTTCTGTTTATGTTATTTTAACCATACTATTGCATTATTATTAAATATTTGT